GATTTGGGGTTTTCATGAGCTGTACGCCATAATCATCACAATTATGACAAATCACGGCTTGAACTATCTTTCTTTGCATATAATGAGTTATCTCATATATTAGTTTCACCTGTTAAGTTGCATTACTGAAATAAATGAACTTTTGCACGATATTCTAATTTTTTGAGTTTCACTTGTAGAAAATGTTTTTTGTATTCTATTCCTGTTATTTTACCATTTCTGGTTTTGGCAAAAGCATAAATCTGATTTATGGCATGGCCATTTCAATTATATCATAATTCAACCATGTGTGGCTGAGCAAAAAATAAAACATGTTGTATTTATTTTCATAAGCACTGAAGTCTTATTCCAAAGACTCTGCCTTGCTTTTTTATGTTCTCAGCAACTTCCTCTATCGCCACTGCCTTCATAATTATTACATATCAAGCTTATTAAATATCAAGCTAATAAGCTAGTTTAGTAAAAAAACAAATATAAATACTAATGATCATCGTTATTATAGAAGGGTAAGAAGACAATACCTATTACAATGGACAGAAAACTAATCCAAAATGTACTGAAAATGATTTTAAATCAAATTTCTTTTAAAATGTAAATGAGTTGAAAAAACAGTCTTGGAAACAAAATTTCACGTGAAGCAGCTCATGAACAAATATCTAGCTATGTCTCTTTGTTTACCTTGTCCTCCATTACTTCTTCAGTACCATCTATTTCTTCATCCTACAAAATAAACATACAAACCATAAACATTTCAAATAAATGAGTTTTCTTCGTAAGCTAACCAAAAATGTACTCAAAGAAACTTACTGAGGCAGACAATACTCATTTTTATATTATTTAGACAATAGTATACCAGAATATACCAGAAAAACGGCTGGTAAGTAATATTAATTAAAGCCTTGAAATTATTTGAATGTTTGAACATGAATATCCAGCTAAATTGTAAGTTGGTTGATTGCAAAATGTGTTTAAAACATAATGAAAATTATTTTTAGAAAAAGCTCCCTGAAGAATATTAGTTGCTAGATATACCTTATCCCTGTATCTCTTATCATAATTTAGTAGAAGCATGCTATCAATCTGCAAGGTCTTGTTTCATTACCCATTTGAAACACCATAAATTTCATCCTAACATGTTTCTATTTCTCCACACTGTGAGTTGGATGATAGTAATTTTAACAGCATGTTAAATAGTTCATAAGCTTTTAAACCAGCTAGAGAAATTTGACAAAACCTTTTCAAAATTCATCTTGGGTTCTCAGGAGATTGCAAAGAATCTGAGCATTATACCCAGTAGTTCAGCTAAGGAACTATTGATTTAGCTACATTCTAGATAAGATGATGGGCAAAACAGTACAAATAAATGACTGCAATGAACATTTAAAAGTTTGACAGACTAATTTGCAGCAAAATACTATTAAAGCTCTTGTGAATCAATTACTTACTTAAATATGCATTCAACAGTACTATATTGTTATTTTAATTAGGGTTGTACACAGTAACCAAACATTTGGCATCTTATTTTGTTTTTTAATCAATTTCATTCCTACCGTTAGAATAAACATTGTAACTATTATAATTTCACTTACATACACTGAAGGTCTTTTGTTTCCATTTTAAAATTACATACTGTATATACTCGAGTATAAGCCTAGTTTTTCAGCCCNTTTTTGAAACCCACCACTGATTTGGATCTATCTTGACCTCTGGTCTAAAGCTAAACTACTTGGGTTCAAAGGGTCTGCATTCAGTGCGCCCCTGGATGAATTTGCATTGCTGCGGCCACTTTTCTAAAATGGCTTAAGGAGGAGATTCACAACCAGACCCAGAGTAGCACATCTAAAATTGAAAAAGTCAGCTTGTATTCAGCCACTGACTCTCGTTTCCAAGAATGTAAACTAGTAACGCCCCCCTTCTACCACCCCAGCTTCTCTTTTAAAAGAAAAAAAAAATAAGAGCAGCATAATTGCCACGTTTTTAAATAAAGCAGTGGACACCAAACACCTCCTTTTTTTAACTTGTAAAGAATGCCATTCTTGGAGATAAAGATGATATGAGAGCATTTTGTTTTGTCACTACCGTCTCCCACGCAAGAGAACTTTTGAAAATGTACTAAGCTTGAAGGAACACAATGGAGATGCTCTTTGGCATGTTGGAATCCATAGCCACCACACCGGCTATTCCTACCCCAGGGGCATGCGGTCTGTAACACCAAAGTCAACATATCAGCAAAATCCACTAAACTAAGCCCCATGATGAAAGCATCCCCCAAACCTCCTCAGGGGGCTATTTTCCCACACTCAAAATCTCCTTACACAGATCTTCAGAAGTGCTTCTGAAGTAGATGAATCACCTTTTGCTTCAGGGAAGACTAGATCATGATAACAGAGTTGGAATGGTCATCTAGTCAACCCCCCCTGCTCAAGCAGGAGACCCTATACCATTTCAGACAAATAGCTGTCCAGTCTTTTTAAAAGCCTCCAGTGATGGAGCACCAACGGTTCCACCACAAATGCGTGAACGAAAAAGCGCGCCTGACTAAACTGTGGTGACAAAACCGCGCCGACGAATGAGCGCTAAAGTGCGCCGACAGCAGCACGCCGACAGAAGCACGCTCTAACCCTAACCCTAAACCAAACCCTAAACCTAACCCTAAATCTAACCCTAAACCTAACCCTAAACCTAACCCTAACCCTAAACCTAACCCTAAACCTAACCCTAAACCTAACCCTAAACCTAACCCTAAACCTAACCCTAACCCTAAACCTAACCCTAAACCTAACCCTAAACCTAACCCTAAACCTAACCCTAAACCTAACCCTAACCCTAAACCTAACCCTAAACCTAACCCTAAACCTTACCTTAACTTAAATCGCGCTTCTGTCGGCGCGGTTTTGTCAGCGCGGTTTTGACATCGCGGTTTTAGCCCCGCGGTTTTGTCAGCGCACTTTTGACGTTCGCACATTTGTCGGGTCACGAGCACCAACAACTTCTGAAGGCAACCCATTCCACTGGTTAATTGTTCTCACTGTTAGGAAATTTCTCCTAAGTTCTAGGTTGCTTTTCTCCTTGATTTAATTTCCACCCATTGCTTCTTGTCTTGCCTTCTGGTGCATTGGAAAATAGGTTGACTTTCCCTTCTTGGTGGCAGCCCCTCAAATGTTGAAACATTGCTATCATGTCATTCAGTCTTTCTTTTCACTAGACTAGATACACCCAATTTCTGCAACTGCTCTTTGTATTTCAGCCTCCAGTCACCTAATCATCTTTGTTGCTTTTCTCTGCATTTTTTCCAAAATCTCAACATCTCGTTTATATTGTGGTGAGCTAAACTGGACGCACGTATTTCAAGTGTGGTCTTACTAAGGCTTTATAAAGTGGTACCAACACTTCACGTGATCTTGATTCTATCCCTCTGTTAATGCAGCCTAGGATTGTATTGGCCTTTTTGGCAGCTGCAGCACATATTTAAGTGATTGTCCATTAGGACTCCAAGATCCTTCTCACAGTTACTGCCGATCTTTCAGCAGCAACCCAGGAAAAGGAAAGGAAGCATAAATTCATTTGCATCTAAATATATTTGTGTTCTATTTCTCCTTTATGTGTAGTAGCGTGTATCCAGTCTTGTACGGTTTAGGAGGAGTATTGTAGTGAGCAAGGTAGTAGGATTTCTGGGAGAGGAAATTAAGCTTAGCAATGGGCAGAGATACCCCCAAACAATAAAGCAAACCTGTGTGTTTTCAGGTGCCAAGTAATCGAGGATATACGTAGTAAAGGTAGCTTAATGGATATACAGTTTTATAGCCTGTTCCCCTGATGCGTAATATATATATTACTTATTCAAATCAAAATATGATACGTCCACCCTGTTGCATTTAGAGGATTTCCTGCTGGAACCCCCTGTTCGGTGGGACCCCAGGTGTCTGCCACAATGCCCTGCCTCAATGCCATCAATGGTGCTTTGCCACTGATGAGAGAGGTCTGCTTCACAACGTAATATCCATTGAGTAATATCCTATGCAAATTGCATTAAAATGGAGCACTATCCTCTCGTACAGCTGCTCCTTACTGAAACCGAGCTTATACTCCCATGCACACACCCAGTTGTCTAGATCATTGTTTCTCAACCTTGGCCGCTTGAAGATGGGTGGACTTCAACTCCCAGAATTCCCATGCTGGCTCGGGAATTCTGGGAGTTGAAGTCCACTCATCTTCAAGCCGCCAAGGTTGAGAAACACTGGTCTAGATGATGGTGATCCCCAAGTGGGGCCACTCTTCTTTCTTCCCCAAGCATCAAAATGCCTTAGAAGATTTTGTGCGTCGATTGGTTAAATGATAGTAAAGACTGTGAAGCCAGACTGCTGGACCGAAGCCTTCTGCTATTTGGTGGAAGCTTCTGTTATGCACAACGACAAGCCGAGGCATGTTCAGAAAGATGCCATGAGCTGGGGAGGGAGAGGAGCTGCCGATGAATGGGGCAGAGGCAGAATTCTTGCTGGTTGATCACTCACAACAGAGAGGAAGTTGAACAACCGGAACCTTGAAGAGGGGATGTTGCATTATAATCAACAGCTTTGCTGTACAAGGGTGTCTTCAGATGGGAAGTGGAAATGAATGTTTTGCAGAGAAGAGAGAGAGGTTGCTGGGAATCAAGGGGTTCTTTCCTTTTTCTGTCAATCTGGTGTATTTCTTTTTTTTTCCCCACTAAGGAGCCTCACATTACGTCCTGAACCAATAACCACACATCTTTTTATCTGTGAGAGCATGTTCATGCCCATGCGCCTGGAACATTTAAAAAAAAAACCCAAAACACCCCAGTATTGTAGCTTTTGCTTCGTTTTTTTTTTTTTTTAACCACCTCTAGCAATCATATTATCTGGGTTGAAAAATCTGGGTCACATTTTTCTAGGTTTCAGGGGCGGGGAGGGGTGGCGGGACAACGCATTCGTCTGCCAGCAATCCAAAACGCAGCCGCAATGGATCCCCCCCCCCCCAGCAAGGAGGATGATCCTTGACAAGGCAGTCATCCCAGCGGGAATGGGGCTCGGGGCTCCAGCAGACGGTGCCCTGGATCCCCCCCCCCCAGGCCTACGTGCTCACAGGGGAAGCGAGAGGGGCCACCACGCCGTTGTCACTGCGGTGACCACCTGCAAAAAAAAGCAGGGAGACGTCCAGCTCCGGAGGGCCGCTTCTTGCCGCCCCCTCCCCCGCTACGATAGCGCAGTGGCGCTCCACGATGCACGCCTTCTTCCACCCCCCACCCACCCACCGGTACCCGTCTGCACAGTGCACCCCTAGGAACCTCATAGGCAACCCGCCTCTTTTCTCCCGCTGCAGGCAACGGAGCAGCCCCCCCCCATTCCGTCCTCCGGTCCCCGTGCTCTTGACTCTCCACCTCGTGCAGCCCCACCCACTCCAGCAGCCGCCCCGCTGGACGCCCCCGTCCCGTTGCCCCA